TAGGGAAAGGTAGATTTTCTTTTTTCCCTCTAAGTACATTACGATTGTGGACATATATTTTCCTTTTTAATCAACACAGATCACCAAAAAAAGAAAGAAAGAAAGCAAAAGAGAAGACTTAATATTTTTAAGGTGAGGGGGAAAAATTTATATATATGTATACACACACGCGTGCACACACACACACAAAGACTTATTTTACGAAAGCTAGAAAATTGTTTTCAAGGAGAAATGTATAATCTACAGTTGCAGTATTTAGATATTTGGCAATTGGAAAAATAATTTTTCGTGAAAATAGGAAAACAGATTGACGTAAATGTACATTAGAATAGTGACTTTCATTTCTTGTACATACACAGTGAAATATTTCTGGGCAATAAATTCTTAGAAAAGTGGGGTTGGATTGGATAAATGTCATAGTTTATGACTGAATACTTATAAACAGCTGAAAACTCAGGATGGAGAGGTAATAATAACCACCTGTTAAAAAGACTTAAAACTCTTTCACCTTACAAAAAAGATTACTTTAGAGATGTAACTCGATACTATAATTTGATTTTTTTAAAAATATTGGTTATATTTGTGGCTACTGTGGTTACATAAAATAAAAAATATAATGCCTTTTGTTCCCCCAATACAAAGAAGTATCTATCATTTAAAATCTTACCTGTTAAAAAAAAAAAATTGATGCTGTAGATTCTGGAATTAATGCCAAGATTATTGAAAAAGATGACATAGCCACTATTTCTGCCATGGTGTCTTGAAAATAAAGAATAAGTGACAATGGAGAATTATATAACTATTTCAAGTCACCAGCCAAGCTAAAATTTAATTCTACAGTGTTGGCAATATATCATGAACCTTCAGACCTTTCCTTTATCCCTAAATCCACCCTGTGCTGTCTGTTTCACCTCTGGATTTCAGGTTTTTCATACCTTTTATTTTCATTTACCTAAGCCTCACCCTTCCTCTTCACAATAATCCTTCTGTGAGATTACTGCAGCCCACTTTGGTTTTCCCTCTTCTCTGAATTTCTGTAACAAGCATACTACCTTTAGACCTGTCCTCTGCTGTTTATGAGGCCAGAACAATTTGTTCTCTTCCTATATACACATTAGTTAGCAAATGCTGGGTGATTAGTAAGCATTATAGAAAATATGTTTAAAAACAATTCAGAAGAGCAAGCAATTAATAGTGTGATAATGGGTGTTTGGAGGAAGTGGATTATGAATGAGGCCCCAAACCAAAGAAAGACTAGCTGAGACCCAAATGTGCATAACCTAAGTGACTGGGACTACAGGCGTCAGTTAATAATAGATGAATGAACCAGTGAACAAATGAGTATATTCTGAGTAGAGTGGTCTGGCTAAGTTTACTGGGCTGTTTCTTTTAAATCATTCATTCATCATACATTTTTGTGTTCTATAGTACAAGGATGAAGTAATGTTTATTTTCAGAAACTTAAATTCTAATGGGGTGTACAGAAATGTAATAAATTATTAGAATTTACTAACTCCAGTAAGAGGTATGAACAAGGTCTATGGGAACACAGAGGAGGAAGCTGCAGAGAGGATTTGTGTAGAATAGATCAAATTCTCAAAGGCCTTAAATGCCATACTCAATTGTTTGAACATTATTTTTGTTTTATCATTAAGATACTGTGTCAGAGCAACTTTGTGAAGGTTAAGGACACCACTAATCCTTCCTAGGGTTTCCTTGTGGGTCTTACTAAGAGACACTTCTGAGAGTTTCTCTGGTCTAGGCCCATAATTATACTTCACGTTCAACTAACAACAAATGTCAGGATGTAATTGGGAGAGTCAGCCATCTCTACTTGTTTGGAATTACCATCTCAGAAGGTAGTAACCATTTAATGTTAAATTTTCATAAAATCAAATTGAGATGCCCTAATCAGTATGGAGACGAGGAAAATGTACATACCTTGAAATAACAGTGTTCACTTTGAAGATAATAATTGTGTATATTTAAAGTCCGAAAAGAAAGATCAAGGAAAAGTGTATTAGTTTGAATTTTGCGAGTTTTTCAAATGTATTTCCAAAGATCTGTAACTAATCGTAAGTATTTTTGTCCCAAATTAATATTTATTTCTAGTCATTTGATTCTTCAAAAATCACAAGGAAGATAAGTGTTACAGCCTATTCTCCAACAACTGGAACCTGTCAAATGAGCCCATTTGCTTCTCCCACAAGCTCTAAAGAACAAGAGAACAAAAATGGACCATCAGATGGTTAGTTGAAAATTCTTTTCCATTTATTGTGAGATTTTTCTAGTTATTGGTTAAATCAGAATTTTGATTTAATAATATGTGGATCTTGCTGCAGCTGATTTTTCTCTTTTTTCTTAAAGAATTCAACATAGAAAAGACTAGAATATAGGTAACACTTTGGACATAAATGTAAACTTTATAGGCAGTTATTTTAAAATGCTACTGCAGACTTTGTTCTCTTACTATCCCATCCATTAAATAGAAATTATGGCCTGACTGCCTTCAGCCACTATCAATTATAATGGTATAGCCCCTTAACAAGCTGTCCATCATGTGCATAAATTAAGGGGCACATAATTCAGGTAATGCTACACTACAATTTAAGAGTGATACTTCTGAATGTTATTTTTATCCATGTTATCCGTTTAGTTTTTTCCACATTTCCTGTGTCTTTATAGCTTGCTTTTATTTATTATATTTCATCCTCTTCCTTTACTATTTTAAATGCATTTGAAAAAGGTTTTTAGAATTTTCCATTAGAGTAACCTAATTTTAATATGAAATTCTTTATTTTAAAATATTGTTAGTTTAATTTTGACCACACATATTTCTTGTTCTCTGATAGTTTATTGCTAAAATATTCATTTAAAAGATATAGAAATCTAAACGTGTCTCCTTCCTGACTGTCCTCTGTAGTTTGTCTGTGAGAACTGCTGATAGCAATATGTCTTCAGGAAATGCCAAAATTGGGCACCGTGCCCCCCAGTTCAAAGGTACGGCTGTAATGCCAGATGGTCAGTTCAAAGATATCAGCCTATCTGACTACAAAGGAAAATATGTTGTGTTCTTCTTTTACCCTCTTGACTTCACCTTTGTGTGCCCCACAGAGATCATTGCTTTCAATGATAGGGCAGAAGAATTTAAGAAACTCAACTGCCAAGTGATTCGTGCTTCTGTGGATTCGCACTTCTGAAACCTGGCATGGATCAACACACCCAAGAAACAAGGAGGACTAGGGCCCATGAACATTCCCTTGATACCAGACCCCAAGCACACCATTGCTCAGGACTATGGGGTCTTAAAGGCCGATAGAGGCATCTCATTCAGGGGCCTTTTTATTATTGATGATAAAGGTATCCTTCGACAGATCACCATAAATGACCTTCCTGTTGGACGTTCTGTGGATGAGACACTGAGACTAGTTCAGGCTTTCCAATTTACTGACAAAAATGGGAAAGTGTGCCCAGCTGGCTGGAAACCTGGCAGTGATACCATCAAGCCTGATGTCCAGAAAAGCAAAGAATATTTCTCTAAGCAGAAGTGAGCACTGGGCCATTTTAGGGCCAGGCTGCAGTAGGTAGCCATGAGAACAAAACCTCTTTTGTACTATTGTCATGCTTAAAACACAAGATCTTACACTCAGCCCAGATGTGGTGTGGGACAGGACAGGCCTTTCCTGCAGGGGTTGGGGAGGCCAGCCTTTCTTCCTCTGGAGGGAATGGCCTGAGCTGTATTATGGGGCAGGCAAACTGATGTGTATAGTAGTAGGGTATCACTTTTGGTCTTCTGTAGTTTTATTAAACTTGAGCTGAGAAAAAAAAAGATATAGAAATCTAGATTTCATAGGTTTAATTTTTAATATTGTAAAAGGTCATGAATCAGTGACATGTCAAGTTTTTATAATATAAAATATTAAGTAGGTTTAAATTTAATAAAATATATTTTAGATATGCTGTGGTTAGCCTGATTCATATTTACTATTTAATATTTGAGTGCTAAGCATGTACTAGAAACTACAGAGAAACAAAGAATTCTCCTCATTTTACCTAATTTGTTGTAATGAAACCTATAATGAGATCTTAAACTTTTGAATGACTTTTATTTTACTTTAATCAGGTGCTTTTTATCTTAAAGCTATCACTACTAGGTTTGCTTTCACAAAAATATATGAAGATGTATGTGTTTTCTTCAAGCTCTATATAGTTCTGGGGGGTTTTTCATTTGCTTGATATATCTTTTGTTTAAAATTAAAAATTAGTGCCTTAGAGATAGAACATCTCTATCCTGAAATGTGAATAGATTTTAAGTGGATACATACTCAATTTCCATATTGAAATTAAATATGGACTTAAGGGAACATTTCTTTTGCCGATAAAAAGATTGGTCACATGATCTCGGTTGACATTTAAGTGGATAATTATCACAGATTATAGTACTAGGTAAGCTCTTTTTTAAAAAGTCATATAGCAAGCGTTCCTGGGGTGCTGGTAATATTCTATTTCTATGTGATGGTTATGCGAGTTCACGCTATAATTATTCATTAAACTGCACATACGTGTTTTATGTACTCTTTGATATATAGATCACACATACGGAAGTCTCAAAGTAGAAGAATTCTGTCTAGAATTTTATATCGGATTATGTCATTTGTAATCATTACATTGCTTTTCCTAATATGTCATCTTATATGTGTTTTAGAAATAGGAAAGCCTGGGTCTTATAAAGTAATTTAAGTTCCAAATAAGTCATAACTTCTGTTAACAATTCTCACTTTTTGAATATTGTACAAAACATAAGGTACAACTTAAATAAGCACTTTTACTTAAATAGCATTTTCAAGGACATTTTAGGTGCTACTCACTTCCCATCACACTTAGGATATATAAGTCAAAACTTTATCATGACTTTCAGGGCTATATGTCATCTAATACCTGACTACCTCACCTGCCTCATTTTCTGCTGCCCTTCCGATGCTTACAGTACTTTAGCCACTCTTACTTTCTGGCTATTTGTCAATCGTGCTGAGCCTGTTGCCTTCACAAGAACTGCACTTGCACTTTTCTCAATCTCGAATATTCTTCCTCCAGGTATTTATATGTACTTTCTATATTCATTTGAATCACATACTATGTGAACAGGTGACAATATTAACTTTAAATCTATTTATAGTTATAAAAGGAAGAAAATGTGGTTCTAAGTCTTCCCTCTATTTAGACTCTACATGGCCCACAAATGGGGTGAATGCTTCCAGTTTATACATTTAAGATACACACACATATGGGGCATCTGTGCAGACAAATGGAAGTGCAGGTGACGGTCTGAGACAGCACCGCCAAGCTGGGAACCCGGGAGATGGCAGAGGCTGAACCCAAGACCGTGCAGGATCTCACCTCGGTGGTGCAGACACTCCTGCAACAGATGCAAGATAAATTTCAGACCATGTCCGACCACATCATTGGAAGAATTGTTGACATGAGCAGTCACATTGATGGCCTGGAGACAAACATCGCAGACCTCATGACACAGGCCGGGGTGGAAGAGCTGGACGGGGAAAGCAGGATCGCTGCCACACAGAAGACTTGAAGGTTGCTCATCTGCACTGGAATCTGGAACACCCTTTTTACAAGCCAAGAGAAGCCGGATAGCTTTTTGCAACTAACTACTCTGTGTAGACAGGTTTTATATTACAAAGTGTGCATTCTTCTTACCACATACTATAGAGTTAGTTTATAGAGTGATTTCCCTCCCCTGCCCCCCATGTTTCCTGAACATGGTAACTTCACGTCTTGGACCTTGGTCAGTTTTGCTATTAAACACTAAAACTTTGGCAGTTCCTGCATACAATTGTCAAATTTTTTAGTGTATTTTTGTGAAGTCATTTTTTTTTTCTATCATTCCCTTTGTAGTAGTTGCTGTTTGATAAAAGTTGCTTGTAATTTTTTTATTGGACATAGGGTAGATCCTTGGTTATAATAAGATTTTGTGAAGTAAGGCATTGATAGTTAAGGTTCTTTGATCCTCAGAGTGACTGTTGAGTAAACACCAGATAGTGTGTTGGCGATGCTTTCCAAGTGGTTAAAAACATTTAAAATTGTGTGTTCAGAAATATTGGGCACTACTCTGTCGCCAAAACTCGGAATGGAACCACGATTTTATGTCTGAGTCCCTGAGGTCAGATGCTACAGTAACAAAGAGTGACCACAAGCCACTTTACGGTTAGCATTTTTAAATACGGACAATGACAGAGTTGTCTGCTGTGATGACGTTTTCAGCAGTTAGAGTTTTGCATGAGGTTTGAACCTTCCGTAGGACCTTACCTTGTCCATCTACAGCAGTTACCATAGGAAATCCGGCAGGACTTTACAACTAAGCTACTCCATCTTTTGAGCTAGTGGCTGGGAAAAGAAACAGAAAAGGAAAACAGACCATGTTAAGTCCATGCCTACTAAATAACTAGCAGTAGGCTTGAGTTTTTAAGAAATACTGTTTCTTTAAACTGTTTCTTACCTAAATTTGAGGAGAGTAGTGGCTTTATAATTGATGATGGAAGACAGGGAAAATAACTCCTACGGCTCAACCGTACAGTGTCAGGAGTGCTGAGCCCAGAGGCAGTGTTGATGGGAAGGAGACCCATGCAACTGTCATAGCAGGATGATTTTGTATAGAGAATATGGAAGAAGCTGAGGAATGGAACAGTGCTTTGGAGAGGGAAACGCGTAGTCAACACAGCATGATTTTTTTAAAGTTTCCTATGTCACTAGTCCTAATTGTTTGTATTGCAAATATATAATAATATTAAGGAATAATTTGTCCTATTTATAAATTATATGGGGAACACAGAGGAGTCGATTTCTTCTGGGATAAAATGAATTCCCCACTGTTATCACTGAGCTGCAGAAACTCCCTCACTGGGCCGGTAGGTTGTGATGCAAGGTGTGGCCCTGAAAGCCCAGAGCCAGCTGGACTCAGGGACTGGGTGGAACTGCGTGCAAGATGCTTCCAAGCCTGGGAAATGGCAAGTGGACCATCAGGATGTAAGCAGTTGTCTTCCTTAAGTAACAGGAAGGTTTCAGAGAAAGCTCCCCTGACCAAAAATACCTGCTGTGAATAAAGGTGCCTGAAATCCTGCTTAAAAAAAAAAAAAGATACACACACACGCTTGTTTATTTATTTATCATCATATATATTGATTACATTTATGTATGTTTGTGTGTGTGTATCATTATATTGCTATCCCCTCC